TGCGAATAAGCCCCGTGGAAAATAGTCGCGAACAGTCTAGAACGAATCGCTCGTGAAAACGAGCTTGTTTTCGTTTGTTACATCACCGCCATGCTTTTTTTTCGGCTGACGTGGAAATATACAGTTTTTGCGCTTCTCTCAAATTGACTGCCAGCGCCAATTTCCATGGTTTGCAGACAGAAACGAAATTGGACCTGGGCCTTGTTCGATACTGTTTTGTTCTTGCGGTTCTTGCAAGGGTATTTTCGCGTAAAGTTTCTCAGCCAGTGTTTCGACCGTCCGAAAAGGTGTTTTGAAACGACGAAAGGGTTGAAACGTTAGCCGAATAGTTTCTATCAAAAAAGGCACAAGAACGAAACGAATTTTCCCAAACGCATCAGCCAGATACGAGCTTTCACTTTCTGCAGAACAGCGCGAAGACGCAATACTAAATTACACCAACCTCTATCCTAGCCTCTTAGAAAATGATTTTTACTTTTGCCATTTCTGTCCTTCCTACCAACCCCAACCGTGTTAGAACTGGCCCGAAGATTTTATAAAATTGAACTTTTTGTACTTGGAATGTCAATTACACAACGCAGCTGAATTAGTATTCTGCAATGCGGAATAATTCAGATGGTTTCCAGCCTTTCCAAAGTGAAGCGTAGAGCGCTTTGCCAGGTTTACTATCGAAAACCAAAAGCCTTCTCCATGAGGGCACTTCCTGCTGCTTGGGAAAACTTTTGGAAAATACCACCCACCTACCGCTGGGAGTTCCACAACGTACGACATACCCTGCTCGTTTAAAGGTAGGTAAAATCCATGGAAAGGTTGAGTTACATACCGATAAAGTGGAAAACTGGGAAAAAGAAAAGTTCGCGAAAAGCACTGCATACAAACTGATTAGTTTACTAACATGAACTCGGTCGGGCGTTTTAGGAGAATCGGGAAATTAAAAGATCAGCGAATAAGGTCACATACGAATTGATTGAGCATAATTTCTCCCAAAGTAGGTAACAACCTGCGCGTGTTCATTCTCTCTGCGGCCTTGTTTGATGCACCAGTTTAGCGCTAATTCTGGACAGATTAGACATATCAATCATTGTAAATTGTACAACATAACCTATACTACAGAGCGATTCCATTTATAACAACGGAAAAGAATTTGTAGCGCGACTCGGCTAGGTAGGAGGCACCAAATGGTACTCAGCTAGGTTTGTACAGCCCACCTTGTGAGTTCCTGTCACCAGAGTCACGCTAACAGTTCACAGGAAATTATGCGTTCGACGAAAGGAGACCTGTTAGCCAACATGAGGTTACAAAGGGAACTGGTAAAAGTGTAAATATCCCCTCCAGGCCGAATAGCGTCAAATTTCTCAGAAGTACTTTTCATTTGTTACCAAAACAAGAGGGATGAAGACTGAACAAGGACACTTGTTGCGTATTACTACCCACTCACAAGCAATCGATGTTGCGAAGTGCAATGAAATGTGAATAGGTGGGGGCAACGTGGATTGGCACGGAATTGACAATGACAGTAGTGAAAACGCAACGATTTCCCATCAAACATTTGACGTAAACGGCATTTGGGCGAAAGGCAGATGCCACGTTGCCTAGGTCGCACGGGAAATTGGTGGGCGCAACAGCCACGCTTGGTCACACAAACCACGTGAACAACCAAATTCCGCACCATGTTTGCTCGGGCAAATGTTTCCTCGTTGAACTAAGCAAGCCAACAATAGGCCATGGCTTTCACCCGGTAATAAATAATTGACTAAACTACTTCGATGAGAGTCAGATAAACTATAAACAATACTTTATTACCGACCAACATCTGTACTGTCAGTACAGCAATATGCAACAAAAACGAACAACAGAACAGCTTAGGCTTTGTATCCACGAGAAGCTCTTCGTCCACGTGCACGTTCGAATTTGCGTCCCTTCGATCGGACGTATGGCTTCGTGTGACTGTGTGGAACTCCTGGAGCAAGACCAAAGTGCTTTTGAGCTTCACGAGCTTTGCGTGGACCCTAAAATGAGGGAAAATAGACGAATATTCCAGTACTGAACGAGAAGCTCTTCGTCCACGTGCGCGTTCGAATTTGCGTCCCTTCGATCGGACGTATGGCTTCGTGTGACTGTGTGGAACTCCTGGGGCAAGACCAAAGTGCTTTTGAGCTTCACGAGCTTTGCGTGGACCCTGAAACGAGGGGAAATAGACGAATATTCCAGTACTGAAGCAAAAGATATAGGACAAGTCTTCGCCTCTGA